ATAGATATATACGTATACATACACACACACCCACACACACATATATATATATATATATATATATATATTAGATATAAATACATATATATGTATATATATATATAGATATATACATATACATACACACACATATATATATATATATATACATGTATTACATATATATATATATATTACATAGATATATATTCTTTATTGACTGTATTGACTGTATAAGTGGGTGCATATACATAGCCTCATAAACATTGGTACTTCTATATATATATATATATATATATATTCTTTAAACTGTATTTACTGTATAAGTGGTTGTATTTACATATCCTCATAACCATTGGTTCTTCTCTTGTATTAAACCCCTTCTAGTGCGACCCAATGGCCAGTGCACCGGATTGCTACATCCACCAAGCACCCGATCCCAGTGCCGTTATCTGGAAGAACATCCCCGTCAACACCACCTACAGGGGCTGGCGATGGTATGTTATCTGTGATTGCACGTGGTTATCCGCTGACTATATGTCACTGTATAGTACTTGTTCACATAAGCTTATCGGGAGCCGGGCCTTAGCGGGCGGATCTATTGGCCTGGGCGAGTTTTGCTGCTATTTCTGAATGCCGTCACCCACATCAAGTACAACGACTGTTTGCGCGCAGAGATTCCATTCATCAGTGTGTTGGTACAGTTCACCGGGTGTCATGTGTGCTGGTACAGTTCACCGAGTGACACGTGTGTTGGTACAGTTCACCGGGTGTCATGTGTGCTGGTACAGTTCACCGAGTGACACGTGTGCTGGTACAGTTCACCGGGTGTCATGTGTGCTGGTACAGTTCACCGAGTGACACGTGTACTGGTACAGTTCACCGGGTGTCACATGTGCTGGTACAGTTCACCGATTGTCACGTGTGCTGGTACAGTTCACCGATTGTCACGTGTGCTGGTACAGTTCACCGGGTGTCACAGGCGTGCGTGCCCTGCGCATCCGACCCGTGGCTGAGATGGGATGGTTTATATGTAGCATGTTATATGTCCCGAGGGGTGCACCTTTTCATATTTAGTTTTGTGTGTACTCACTTGCCTGCTTGTTTTGCATGTCCCTTGCACGTGCAGGTTTGGCTTGTGGGCGGCGGTGATCGGACTGACGGCCGTGTACACCATCCCGGCGGCTGCCATGGCTTCGCTCACATCTCTGGAGAACCTCTCGAAGACATTCCCTATACTGAAGACTATCTGCGACCACTACCCATCTGTTAAGGTGCGTAACATATATATATATTATATACATATATATATAAATGTGTATATGTGTATATATGTATATATGTATACATGATATATACATATATATATAGATAATATAAATATTTATATCTATATAAATATATATATGTATATATATATATATATCTTTATATCTTTACTGTGATGCTGTTGTTAATGCCGCAGTGTGCATGCCACAAACAATACCTTCTTCTAATGAAAAATAAGAATCGCACTCATTGTTCACCGCTACTCATCGCAGTGACAACAATATCTTATCTAGAAGCTCAGGTGTAGCAATAATATATTGATTTCAAGTCCACCCAGACATTAATCTGCTCATCATCGTCTGCTCTGTTTAATCCTCATCGCCAGGGTATGCTAGAGGGTGTGCTGCCCCAGAGTTCGATCATCCTGTTCTCCATGGTGATGCCATACATCCTGTACTGGCTGGGCATCTTCGAAGGACATCTCACCTGGGGTGATCTCGAGCGATCTGTGGTCCGCAAGTGGTTCATGTTCCAAGGTGTCAACGTCTTCTTCGCCCCTGCCGTATCATGTAGGTCAACTTGCGCTTATGATAACTACGTGGGCACAGCGTGTTTAGTATCGTATTTAATGTGTGACAGATTTATTATGATCACATGCATGGGCATGTCGGTGGGCGCTAACACATTTGTATACAAAGATCAGACTATTTATTTTTAAGTACACAGACCTACGTGTGTTTACATAGGCATTTGTGCTCAGGTCACACACGCAAGTTTATACAAAGGAATACTCACCGTGGACACAGCTCTAGCAAGGCGTCTCGTGTACACTTCGTTCTCACGGACTATATAATCCTCCCTCTCCATCACTCGAGAACTCGTTGTAATCTCATCTCCCCCTGACTGCCTGGCCACACACAGCATCGGTGTTGCAGGTCCTGACCCAGGCGCAACAGGACATCTCGCACATTCCTCAGTTGCTCGCCCGGGCGATTCCCTCGGCTTCCACATTCTTCATCAATTTTACCATCATGCGCATCTGTCTAACGCAAACTATGGAGCTGATCAACCTAGGAGCCGTGTGCTTTTACATCATGGGCAAGTTCCAGACCCAGGTATGTTGGGTTATATATAGAGGAGAGCGTAGGTTATGATTATTTAGACCCTATTGTGTTTTGTACGTTTGGCCGTGTATTGTTTACGGTGTTAACTTTTCAGAAGGCTATGCGTTGTCCGCCTATGGACAACATCGTCGTCTGTAACCTCCCGTATGCCACGCATGTGCTAATTACTGACTCAAAACCATTGGAGTCACAGGTTCGGTTATATCTTTCAAACTTGAATGCCACAGCTCGCCTCTCCCTCACTTGCGCGTCTATATTGGCCATTACAATGAAACCACTTGACCTTCACGGCTTTCTTTATCTTACGTTTACTATGTATTAGTCCCCGGCTTTCTTTGTCTTACGCTTTCTATGTATTAGTCCCCTCACGGCTTTCTTTGTCTTACGTTTTCTATGTATTAGTCCCCGCGTGACGTGTCTATGTTCGCCATTACGATGCAATCGCTGACCCTCACGTCTTTCTTTGTCTCACGTTTTCTATGTATTAGTCCCCGCGTGACGTGTCTATGTTCGCCATTACGATGCAATCGCTGACCCTCACGTCTTTCTTTGTCTCACGTTTTCTATGTATTAGTCCCCGCGTGAAGTGTCTATGTTCGCCATTACGATGCAATCGCTGACCCTCACGTCTTTCTTTGTCCCACGTTTTCTATGTATTAGTCCCCGCGTGAAGTGTCTATGTTCGCCATTACGATGCAATCGCTGACCCTCACGGCTTTCTTTGTCTTACGTTTTCTATGTATTAGTCCCCGCGTGAAGTGTCTATGTTCGCCATTACGATGCAATCGCTGACCCTCACGTCTTTCTTTGTCTCACGTTTTCTATGTATTAGTCCCCGCGTGAAGTGGACGAGTCCAAGAACCCTGGACGTCTGATGTATGGAGACATTCTGTCGCGTACGCTGCTGGTCTTTTTGATCGGAGCTACTTATGCCGGTAAGTTAAACTGAAATGTGATACTGACTCCACCTGAGTGAAAAGTGAAGTACTTCCGCGAGAGTATCATTTTCCGGCTGGCCATTTGACGTGCGTATTTGTGTGGGTCTGTTTGAGCATCCTACATACATGTTTGGTGTCTCAGACGCCAATCAATCAATGGCAGTACTAATGATCCGCTAGGCTTCCGAAACATTCCTCCACTCATCACTGCACCGTGTGCTGCGGTGCTATCTGTTTAGAAGCACCACCTTACGGCTCAACTACTTGCCCATCAGTCGTCTTCTCCCCCACTCCATCTCATCACTCTTTCTGCTTACACTCCGCTCTCACAGTCCTGGCGCCCCTCATCCTCCCGTTCATCACCTTGTTCTTCGCGGCGTCGCTGTTCGTGTGGAAGTACCAATTGAGTTACGTCTACATCTCGGAGATGGACACGGGCGGTCTGTTCTGGTTCGTTTGCTTCCGCCGTATCATGTTCAGCACAATGTAGGTATCTCTGTTCTCGAGTGTATGGAACGGCCTTTATTCTTGTGAGGGTATTTGCCCAATGTACGCTCATTTCTATCCCCATGTCAACCTCCGTTATCGCATAGCCCGGGCACCGACCAAGTATCTGTATACACCCAGTTAAGACTGCCGAAATTAGTTGTCAACTGCTGAAGGGTGTACTCTACTGCCGTCACTCACTTTTGGAGTTCTTTACAGCTTTGCACAGGTCACCGCATTCGGACTCTTCAGTCTCAAAGGATCCCTCCTATCGATTGTGATGGTGCCATTGCCATTTATCACGTATGTCAGAACATTTATCAGACATTTCTTGAGACGTGGTATCAAAGCTGCACGGTTATTTATCTGTATTACTTTATCACGTATGTCAGAATATTTATCAGATATTTCTTGAGACGTGGTATCAAAGCTGCACGGTTATTTATCTGTATTACTTTATCACGTATGTCAGAATATTTATCAGATATTTTTTGAGATGTGGTATCAAAGCTACACGGTTATTTATCTGTATTGCTTTCAGTAAAAAAGTACATAACATCGCGCTATTGTTGTGGAGCATTATGTTTCTCCTTAACCTCCACGGCTCGGCCAGCAGAAGCAAGGATCTGTCGTTCACAGTATTTATCCGAAGCTTCTCCAATGTTGTGAGCCTATCTTTCGTTTCCCTGTACTTATTTGTTTTCCCGGTCCTAAAATCTGCACAGTATCTCTAATGTTGTGAGTCTATCTTTGGTTTTCCTGTATTTATTTGTTTTCTCGGTCCTAAAATCTGCACAGTATCTCTAATGTTGTGGGTCTATCTTTCGTTTCCCTGTACTTATTTGTTTTCCCGGTCCTAAAAATCTACACAGCATGTGGGTGACCGGTAGTCTGACTTCAAAGTACGAGCGCAAAGCCACGTACCTATCGCTTGACGAGGCTATCCGTGCGGATATCATTGTGCGGGCCAACGAGATCAGTCCCCAGGAAGAGTCTCCTCCGGCCTTGGAGGAATTCGCTCCCATGTACTTGCAGCCCTTGCTGATGGTATGGCTGGCAACTCGAATCCTGCGGTGTCTTGCTTGTGTGTGACATGTTGTTTGTTGTGCTTACAGCACAGCCCCTAGAGATCGTGCTTGTAGCCGGTTCATTATTAATCTGGTGTTGTACACTGTTGACTGGGTGGTTCCTCAGTCAGTCCGTCTCTCTTCTCAAACCGATGGGACACAAATTTCGCGGTACATATTAATCTTCCCAAGGGTTCGTGTAGAAGGAGCAGCAAACCGATAGACACACTGTTTTTCTTCAAGCTTTATTTACCTACTGAGGCGTCGTTACAATCTTTGACAGACACATGCTGACCTCTTGTTTCTAATTAACATCGACACAGATTCCGCCGCTGTTTCCGCGTCTAACCGAGCAATTCAGGACAGACAATAAGAAATCACCCGAGGACGAGACCCGTCGAGAAGCCGAGGTGCTTTCAGATTTAGCGGGTATGTTTACGCTTTTATACCAGATATACATGCAAATCTTTATACCAAAATTTGTGCGTCTTCGTGCCGGATGTGGTTTAAATTACCATATAATAAATATATGTACAAGTGTACATTCGGAAATTTTGAACCACGATCGTGCGCATCGAACAGCTATACAATTGACACTGAGGTTTTCTCGATGTGTACGCTTACGTAACATAGACACATGTACACATATATATGAGACTTTTTCATAAAACTTCTTCCACAGAAATATGTATAGTTGAGTGTTTCGGTACTTCTCTCCATTAATATTTTTCTATCACCGGATAGCTGCTGTGAACAGGTATATTGATATCCGAATATGCTCCACGATGCGATGTGATATACTTAATTCTTCTTTGTGCTTGTGTGTATTTGCGCAGACAATGAGGGTACGATTGACGAAGCTGTAGATGAGAATTCGCCGCTGTTGCGTGCGGGCGAAGCGTGAAATACGAAGAAACACATATGAACGATGTCTGAACGCCCGAATTCACCGTCAGTAGGTATAACTCACCACAAGTATGCCCGTACATACGGTTGTATTTGCGATATACGTTATAGCCCGTACATACGGTTGTAAGTACGATCGTTATAGCCCGCACATACGGTTGTATTTGCGATATACGTTATAGCCCGTACATACGGTTGTAAGTACGATCGTTATAGCCCGTACATACGGTTGTAAGTACGATCGTTATAGCTCGTACATACGGTTGTACATATGATGTACGTTATAAGAGCATTTAGCCATATGGGGCATACTGCGGCGAGGCCTCGGCAATTCTGATACGAATTAGCGTTAAACATCGAAAATATAGCTTTTACCTGGACGTAAAATAAACAGGGCCACTAGATAAGAAACCCTGTATCTAGGGTTTCATAACATACACTTGTACTGATTTTCACCCAAATCTGACAAACCACGCTAAAACACATATACACGTCTGTTTTTTGTTATATCCACACGTTAAGGAGAGCTAAGATGGGTGTCTCTGGGCTGAAGCCATTGATAGAGCCACTTTTGAATGTAGTACCCCTGTCACGCTTTAAGGGTGTGGTTGCCATTGATTCTAGTTTTCTTTTTCACACGCATGCAGCATCCTGTGCATCAGAGATTGTCTTGGAAAGAAGCTGTGTGAGCTTCCTACAACTCTGTGCTTCGTCTCTAAGGAAGATACAAGCTTGTGATAATGGTAACGTAGTTGTACTGCCTGTATTCGACGGGTGGAGGGTGGCAGAGAAACTAGCTGAAGCGGAGCAACAGATTGCTACTTTGCAAGTAGATGGGCTAGTCGATTATATCATAGTGTATGATATCGACTATATTGTGCTTGGTTGTGATGATTTAGTCGTTGATTCCTGGTGGCGGACGGGTTCTGCGAAAAATTAGGTTTCGGTCTCAATGTACAAAAACAGCGGTGAAAGCAATGCATGACGATCCACAGAAGAAGTTGACTGAATACCAGCGAATATATTTAACAAGTATATGTGATCTAGGATTTGATCGTGCTATTCTTCTGGCAGCTTTGCTTATGAAAACAGACTTCCGTGAGAACACTGGCATGGCACCACGAGGGCTATGCAATATGCTTAAGGAATATAGAGAGACTGCATCAGTAGAGAAGGGTCCAGAGATTGTGCGTATTGGTAACACTGCCAAAATCGAACAAGATAAGCTGGATATAGTACAAGTAAAGTTGATGTTCTTCTGTCAACCAATATACTACAAGCCTGCCGAGTGTTTCATGCCTTTCATTAAGAAGGTACATGCGCAAAAGCTAAAACTGCTCGATCTCGCTCCGGAACAGATAAGCACGAAAACATCCTCATACATATATGGTATGGATTTGATAGATACACAGAACTGGGTTAATGATATGTATAATATTGTATGTCCCCCCTGGCTGGCAGTGTGGAACGAAAGGATAGGTGTGGCAGGATTGCCTTATGAGTCTATAAACTTTGATAAGGAAACTGTAAACTTCAACGCATGGACGGCTATTCAGCTTAGACAATATGCTAAAGAAAGATACATCGCAATTCCTAAAGCATATGAAGCTAAGGCAAACTGGTGGAATATCTTCGGTACAATCTGCTGGCACGCAAAGCAGTAATTAAGAAAGAGATTGTACCTGAAGCACCTGCCACATTATTGGAATCACGTATCCAGTCAGTAGACGATGCAAGGGGGCGCTTCAATGGTATAAAATTTGAACCTTATGATCAAAATGTAGTGCAGAAAGTACACATTACAGCAAAGGAGGTCAAAACCTACTTTGGAGTGCACGCGTACACACAAGGAGCCACAGAACAACAAGCCCAACGGGGCGTTACACTGACATACGCGTTTAAGGATTGCGTTGATGAATATAAGAAGATGAAACTCATGTGTGTGCGAGGTGCTGTGAGTCGTTCAATGCGAAGTGGCACCATGGAAGTGTTGTGCATCCTTCTCATTGGGAAAAATCCTGGTACCGGCGATCTTGTAGTGTAATCAGTAGAAGATTCGTTCTGCTGCTTTCCAACCGGATTAACCCCAGCTAAACTAAAAGAGTTCTCGCCGTGCCACAACCATGTTAACTGTGTTCGGGTACGGGCAGTACTTGAGCGCATGATCGAATTAGGCTCAGCTGGCTCAACAGATGGAACTAATACTTGGATTAAAGATCTAAGGGTGCAAAAGCAAATGCAACCCAGCCTTTCGTTGAGCTGATAGCCGACTATGCAGAAATGAGTAGGGATCTTAAATGCGCTAACATCCGTAGCCAGTTCAATCCGCTTACTTATGAAGATAGGAAGACTTTGGCTTTGCCACCCAGCGATGAGGAGATGAATTTGCTCATGACATATCGTGAAGCTAAGATTGAAACGAACATATACAAAGATCGGGGTCTTAAAATAGATATGGTGCTAGAGATAGACGATGACTTGGATTAATTAAACTTTAATTCTTATCCCAAGAAGCTCGTATCCACACTGTCGTCAATATTAACCGCCACGCTTTCGATATTAACTCGTACATAATCTGGATCGATGTCACTTGCTTTGTTCATATACCAGTCTGTTATAGGTGGCTTTAAGTTTACAAGTCACTTGTATCGTGATCTGCAAGATCAATTTCTGATAGCGAAATCACGCGACTGTGTAAAGAGCCTATGGCGCTATAATTTCTGATTTCCTTCATGTTGCGCTCTATATGTGAAAGCCGGGCCTCCACATTAGAATCTTGCAATATAAAGGTACTCTTAATAGTACGTAAAACGTACTCTTAAAAGTACGTAAACTTAAGTTTTCCTTCAATGGTTTTTAACTGTTTTTATTAATTAAATACCTTTTCCATTTTACATATCAGATATTTGGACAAGGCCTTTAAAAGGCCCCAGGAAAATACCAGACATAAGATTTTCTCTAGTTCTAATAATAGAACTATATTTACTTTCCCAATCGATACTTCGGTAGCGGGATGGCTCAACCGAACATAGGTTTCTAAGGACTATTAGCGTTGCTTAGTTTATCCTCCGTTCAGCCAACCGTGTGTGCCAGTCTGATGAAGGCTAAGTCGGTAATTCTTGATAAGTGGTAAGTTATTGGTTAATGCAATAACTGGACATTACGAGTATTTTTTTTTCTAAAGATAGGATTTTATGAGTCTCTCGGATTCGCCCCAACGAAACATACCATAGTTTCTATTAGAGCGACAACGAAACACTAAATAAAATCCCTTCGGCGAAAACAGTACTGAGAGGATTATATATAGGCAATGTCTCAGCCTCACAATCCCTCAGAGTAATGCTGTTTTCATGAGGCATACCTAACTTTACTAAAAGACTCATTTCGTTTATTTACTTCGATTTTAATTATACTTAGACTTAACCTAAGCGTTTAATTACTCTAAGACGTTAATATCGCCTTGATAGACCGAATCCTACACAATTTAAAGTGAGCAAAGGTATTAACTACTTAAACTACTTGAGCGTAAAGGTAGATAACTACCACGAAATTTTTCCTAAGCACAGTCATTCCTTAAAAGAAAAAGACTGAAATCATAAGTTAAGATTATGACAAAGAAAGACAATACACCTGCAAAGAAACGCAAGGCTGAACGTAAGAAGATGGAGAGAGAAGCCGCTAGCGCTGCCGCAGAAGCAACCGCCGCTGCTGCCGATGCGTTTAACCGCACTGTAACCGAGGCACTTGTCTCCGACAATAATAGTCAACAGGCCAATGCTTTGGAGAAGAGTGTAACCACTCCGATTAAGGAGACTACTCCTACAGATAGAGCCCGAGGGCCAACTATTGCCTCATCTTCGAAGCTCACATTTACGAAGACAAGAAGTGAGACAAGGGACACGTCTCAAGACGCCCCACCCAATTCTTCTGACGAAACTCAGAAAGAAAAGTCCCCATTTATAGGGGACAAATACGAATCTCAGAAGGTACCTATACCGGAACCAGACGAGGAGGCAAGCTCAAGTAGCAAACCCGAATCTACGTCCGAGACCACTGAACCAACGCGCATAAGTAAGTTAATTACTGCAAACACTGATCTTAAGAATCAGTTAGCCGCCCTTATGAAAGGCATGACTGTTGAACATGTAGACCGAATGTATAGATCAGGAAAACACTCACAGCACTTACGCGAGCATGTTTCTCCGGACACTACTGAAGCCCTACAGAAGTGGACAGAACGTCGGCTGGTAATCCAAACCTGTGGCAGTTGACCTAGATGTGCTCAGTGTATCTATACCTTACGAGGTACTACCACCAGAACTCCAGGCTAATTATTCGCCTGTTTTAACACCCGGCCATGAGTCGCCCGTCCTTGAGAGTATTATAGACCCAGAGGCAGGTAAAAATACTCCGCCACCTTTATCCAACTGGGATAACAATCGTCGGAAACCAATTAAGACTGGGTATATTATCCAGACGCATGAATCATCCAAGATTATAGTACCAACTACTATCCAAGGAACAGAGCACCGAAAGGCCTCGACTATGGACTTTACAAGGGGTAATAAACACTCCCGTAAACGTGTTAACGATGTCGAATTTAATCGGTTCGATCGCACCGCATTACACCAACCCGCACAGGATTTCCACTCTGACGAGGTGACCGAACTTAATAAATCGGTCGACGATTACACCATCAAGATGGAAATCGCCCATGACGAGCACCGTGCTGATGACGTATCACATTTTGCTAATATGATCGCGATCAAGCACAAGCGCATCGATCAGCTACTTCAGGCCTAACGTGGACAAGACCACAGGGATAACCAGAAGTACAAGGGACAGATCAGTCGACTTAAGTCGAACTGGGATGCCAACAGCAAGCAGGTCGAGTTTATAAACAACCATGACCTCGACACGTTGACCCGTACGCTTAATGCGTTTACGGTCATGCTGAAGACGAATGATATCGCTCCCCAGCAATGGATTTCTGCTTTAATGCGGTCATTTGACCCTACAGGAACAAGAT